ATTGGGTTGGTGAGTGGGAGGGTTAAATATATTTTTAAAACAATGGGTAGATGAATTTGAAATATATTTCAGGCAAAATGAGCAACTGACTTCTATTTATTAATAGATATCATTTTTATTTAATAATTTATAAGTTTACGTAAAATCATTAAAATAATACATAAAGAGCCAAATCAAAAATATTTTTTTTTAGCTTTCACCTTTTCTGGTGGTAAGCTCCTTCAATATCTCTCTCCATTTTATGTTATTCATGCTATCTCATTTATCAATTTATATTTCTTCATATTGGCTCTTACTTTATGGCCCCATTGTAGTTTTGGCCTTCCTCTTTTACGTTTGCCCATCACTTCCAAACTCTCCCTTATTTCCTATATAGTTCATAGGCCTTCTCAGTGTGTGCCCATACCACCTAAGTCTGTTCACCATTATCATATTAATAGACAATACCTTTAAAATTCCTAGTATTCTTGCACTTCGCACCTTATCCTTTCTTAATACTCCAGCAATATCCTCAGCATTCTCATTTCCATAGTTTGTAGGTTGGCCATGTATCCGAATTATATAAAATAGTTGGTTGCACTATGGAACTGTAAATTTTTCCCTTCAATTTGTGCGGGATTCTTTTGTCAAAGAGCACTTCAGATAAAGATCTCCACTTTAACCACCCTTGATTAAACTCTTTATCTCTTTCTCTATTGTGCAGTTTGTTTGTACAGTGGAGCCCAAATATTTGCAGCTTTCAATTGCCGATATCTGCCATTCATTTATATCAATGCTCTCTGTTTCATCTCCTCCTATCACCATATACTCCGTCTTTTCTCTATTTACTTTTGTCCGTGCTTTTCTAGGATATTTATCCAACTCACTAATCTTTCTTTCATCCTTGGATTCGGCAAGTATCACAATATCATCTGCAAATATCATATTCCACGGAACTGTTTGTGGTTTAGACTGTGCTAATACATTTATTACTGTTATGAAGAGAAGTGGGCTGAGAGCCGACTCTTGATGAACTCCCTCGGCTATTGTGAAGCTTGCTGAAGTACCAGTTGTGCTATGGACCATTGTTGTATGGCCCATATACATATCCTGTATTATTCTTATATATTTTTCGGGAACCTTTTTGTGGCGTAGCGCCCACCAGATAAGTTTTCTTGGGATTTTATCGAAGGCCTTTTCCTTTTCTAGATCGAGAAAGACCATCTGTAGCTTTTTGTTCTTTTCCCTGTATTTTTCACTCATTTGCCTAATTGCGTGGATTGCATCAGTTGTTGATCATCCAGGCATAAAGCCAAACTGAATTTCTCCTATATCGATTATGTCTCTTAACCTTGTTTCTATGATTTTTTCGTAAAGTTAAAGACAGTGCGAAATTAGTTTTATGCCCCTGTAATTTTGACAATTGTGTGGATCCCCTTTATATTTGAAAAGAACTAGATAGCTCTGCCTCCATTTTTGAGGAATCTCTTCGTTTCCAAGTATTTTATTGTACAGATTTGTGAGGAAATGTATTCCATCATCTCCTAGTGCTTTAAGGCTTTCTATTGGAATATCATCTGGACCCCTAGCTTTGTTGTTTTTCATATGCTTGAAGCATGTGATTATTTCTTGTTCTGTTATTGGTTGTATAAGGTTTTGATGGGGAGTGTTGATCTAGATGTAGTATGTGGGGATTAAAGTTGAGAAGCTCCTGAAAATATTCTTTCCATCTATTCATTATTTCTTTTTCCTTTATTATCAATTTCCCATCTTTATTTTTGATTACTTACGGAGCTCCATTTATATCCCTAGAATTCTTTTTTCGCTGTTTGTATTTTGCCCTTCTTTGGTATGTAGTTCTTCATACATGTCATCGTATGCCATAGCTATGGCCCTAGCCACCGCCTTTGTAGCTATTCTCTTGGATTTTTTTGTATCTTGTCTTGTCATCAGGGTTTTTTAATTTGTACCATATTTTACATAGAGCTTTTTTCTCCTGTATAGTGGTTTGTACCTCTTTATTCCAACACCATAGTTCTTTGTATGATTTGTTGCCTCCCCTTGTCAAGCCTAGTTTATTGCACAATCCTTAGCACCAGGCTGTTCAAGCCTGTCGGTGACTGGGGTGTCATCTCTAAGCTCCGAAATTCATTTACCATATGTCTTTACACATCAGTCATCGAAGAAAAAAATGAAAATTTTTACGGTTCCTTGCCAGGATTGAACCTGGGACCTTCTGATTCCAAGCATACATCATAACCCACTAGGCCACTCCGGCGACAAATCAACCAATATAATAATTTTTAAACATTGGACAGGCAAGTTACAAAATTTTTAAATGAGCAGGCAGGTGCACCAAAACTTGCCCATTGCAGACCTTTAAAGGATGAGATCGGAAACAGCAGATCATAATGGTTTTTACTTCTGCCAAAGAATTCATTTATAAATGATATGCGTCTGCCACTTTTATTTTCCCATGCATTTACCACCAGAGGTCTGCAAATGACAACATTTTCAGGCCCAATGGAAATTTAATTAAGGCCCATCCCAGGTTTTGCTTGGCTCAATTTCAATTTTTTTTAAAGACTTTAACAAAGATATATAATTGTATAAAATGCAAATATTTATAATGGAAAGCAAAGCACTCCTTTTACAATGTTCTCCAGAGTTTTGAGATTTTATTTATCTAAATAAAATTTATTTAAAATTATACTTTTGAAAAATGAATATTCCACCTGCACCTAATTTGTCATTTTTTGCAGTAGGAAGAAAAATTGTCAAATTTATGAATTTAGTGATCTGCATCGGGCCTAATTTTTCAATCCTGGCCCGGCCCGAAATTTTTTTAAAAAAAGTTTTGCAGGCCCGGCCCGAACCTGAAATTTTTCTAAAAAGTTTTGCCAGCCCGGCCCGAACCCAAAATTTATTTTTAAAAAATTTACCAGCCCGGCCAGGCCCGAATTTATGTAAATATAGAAATTAATTTTTATAATTACTTAAAATAAAAGATATATGTTATATAGCGTTTAGTTTCAATAAATTAACTCAAAAATTTGTATTTTACATAAAAAATTCAATATAAAATTGATAAATTTAGATGTATTTAATAAAATTTCCAAGGTCCGACCCGACCCGGCCCGAAATTTTTTTCAAAATATTAGACCCGGCCCGAACCCGATCATTTTAAATAAAACTAGTCGGGCCGGGCCTAACTTTACAGATCTCTAATAAAATTATTATTTTAATAATTCATATTTTGTAAAATAATTAAGGAGAAAATTCTAATTCCCTTATAAATGCAAATATTTATTTATATAAAGAAATTCATGATAAAATAATTCATAAAGATTGTCTTTTAAATATGTTCAGAAATTTAAAGATTGTAACAAAGATATATATAATAGTATAATGTAAATATTAATTAGATTGTGGGAATATTTATAATGAAAGGCACAAAGCACCCTGTTCAATGTTCTCCAGAGTTTTGAAATTTTATTTATTTAAAAAAATTAGTTAATTATAATACTTTTGAAAAATGAATATTTCATCTGTAAGAGTAAAAATTAGGTTAATCATAGATATTACTAAATCAACCAAGAGAAATTTTCTAAATACCAACCAAAATTTATTAAAATGTAATAAGACCCTTATTATTTAACATAAATTATAACGGAATCACGTGGTCTAGTCTGGCCTCCTATATATCATCTCTTCAAGGAAGGAACCACCAAGTTGGATTAGGAAAAAAATGATCTTTTCTGGGATTCGAATCTAAAGCCATCGAATTTGTAAGCGATGCTCTTGCCGATTAGGTCACAGACGGTTTTCAAAATTCACGATTTTTTAAATATATATTATAAATAAATTTGTTCAAATGAAAAATAAACTAAATACAAATTTGTTAGGTACTACCTTAAGGCAATACCTATCATTAACCTAAGAATTCTAGTATATATTTTATGGTAGCTTAAAAAAATGAATGTTTGATATGGTATGATATTATCATTGGACCGAATAAGCTATGGTGATTTTTATTGGAAGCATATTTTTTAAAAGAATACTATTGGCTATTACGTTACACGGCTTTTATCTATATTATAGATATATTTTTGAGGTTCTTGTTGCAGAACCGGTTCCAAAATAATTCTAGATTTATCCCAATTTATTTAATTTAATTCTAGATTTAATTTTTTTCTATTGACTAAATAGATATATTCATAAAAATAAAACAAATTAAAATTTCCACTACATCAAAATATCTTAAGGTATTTGCAGATTATTTGTGTTTTTAGAGACTATAAAATATATGAAAGCAATGAGAATGTCCTTTCATTACTTACCCAGTAATGTTTCAGGGAGGATATATTTGGGCAGGGTGTGCCCTTTCAACGAATAAAAATTTTAAAACATATGATATGATAGCATCATATTAACATTTATGAAATATTAAATTAGTTTAATCAAAAATATATTTGTTTTTAAGTAATTTTCCAAAAAGTACCAAATTTTGTATGTTTTGCCCACAAAGCTGCCACATCCAACATCAAGCAAGAAAATATTGCTCTATAATACAACGATAAAGATCGTGGCGCAGTACTGATAAACAAGCCAAATTTATATTCAATACTGCCTTAGAAATCCTGGATATGGGGAGACAATAAAGCACTAAATATTGGCATAGGTTTGAAAAAATTTGTAAATTGTTCCTCATGTTGGATTCGGCTTATCTGGTTTGTAAATTAAGCCCTAAATATTAATACAGGCTTTATAAGTGCCTCAATTCGTGTCAGTAACTAGCAAGATAGAAATATGCATTCATTTGGAGGATGTTAAAATAAAATATAGCTTTTAAAAATATCCCCACAGAGGCGACGCCCAATATTTAAAACTTACATGTTAAAAAATTACTTAATTAATAATGCTAATTAATTCAATCAATGCATGTATTTATAGTTTATGTCTTATTTATAATTTTTTTTAATTAAATGTTATCTAAAGAATAAGTATATTATGCAAATAACTTGGGCGTGCGTACGTCCAATTTTAATGATATCTTTAAATTCCTCTTTTTTGCTAGTAAGTGCCTCTTTAAGTATTTGTAAATTAGGAAGGAGATACATATTTAAATCGATGGCAAGGGCGACATGCATAGCAGTAGGGAAAGTATCATTGGAACTCTTATTATGATAAAAAAAATATATAAAAAATATCAATTTTTCGGCTTTGTCAGCTCAACTATAAAGTTTCAATTTCCAGTAATATAATATACTTAATTTATATTTCTAAATATTATTAAATCCAAACCAAGTCCATATTAGTATAATACCCTCTAATTTTTATTAATGGTTATTTTTTTCATTTAAAATACTCTCAAACAATATCATTTTTTAAAAATATAATATCGAAAAGGGGGGGGGGGGAGTAATCATAACAAAAGTAAAAAAATATATGGAGTTAGAAACAAATAATTTGACTGGGATATCTCTAACCAATGTTTTGGCGGAGATAAAAATATACTTGGAAGTCACTGAAACTTTTTTTGCCAGTAGAGTTCCAAAATGTATATTGCATAGGAAACACATAGAGCTACCAAGTAAGTCTCGGAGTTCTACGACGATGATTTCGTAATATTATAAGTTTGAAGAATTTGGATATTAAAATCTTGATAAAAAATAGTACTTGTGATCCCAAAACTATTTACAAGCGTTTTCCATACACTTTATTCATTTTCTCAACTATAAAAAGGTTTAAAGCACTTATTAAAGAAATAACACAGGTAAACCCGATTAAATGGATAAGCCCCATTAAATATATATAAGATTATTTTATGTAAAATTTAATCCTAGTAGAATATGTAAGATTTCAGAGAGAGAAATTATCTTTTTGAATTCAAATCGGTCGTTTACTATAAATCTGCAGGCATTTCTTGTGTTATTAACATTTTAGTCTCTACTAGCAAAAAAAATAGAAATATGATATATAAACCTTACCTTTAATTGAACTAAAAATGTTTCAATAAGAGGAATAAAAATATTAATCTTGCAACAATCTTCGACCGTCAATGCATCAATATTTAAGCTATTCGATTATCAAGGTATTATACTTCTTATTTTTTTTCTCGCTTTATACAGTTTCCGTTCTTTATACAGTTTTTTTATATTTGTTTTTTTTAAATTTTTTTTATATATTTTGTATTTGTATATTCCATTTTAATAACTCTATTTTTATATATAAGAGTGGGCACAAATTGAGCGTTTCAAAAGCTGCGTTGCAAATGCAAATAATGCATTTCAAAATGGCATCGAGCAAATTGGTAAAATTATCGTTTGGGTTAGCAACCATTTAAAAATATGCAAATAGATTTACTTTTTAGTTTAAATTTTTTTTACTTATATCTTAAATGAAAATATTTAGAAATTTATGAAATATAAAATGTAGACGATAATATAATTTTTAAGAAACAAATTCTTTTTTAGAGCTTATTTTGAATCGGAGATATTAAATAAAAATGCAATCTCAATTTAAACAATGGATGCGTTAAGTTTTTTATTTTTAATGAAAAAAGGTATGACAAAACGCAATCGCTCAATATAAGGATGTGACAAAAGTAATGATCTGCATCGGGCCTAATTTTTCAAGCCCGACCTGGCCCGAAATTATTTATGAAAAAATTTACCGGCCCGGCCCGAATTTATTATAAATATAGAAATTAATTTTTATAAATAACTCAAAATAAACGATATATATTATATAGCGTCTCTGTTTCTATAAATAAAATCAAATATTTTTATTTTACATAAAAAATTGATAAATTTAGATATATTTAAAAAAATCTAAGGCCCGAATTTTCTTAAAAAATATTAGGCCCGACCCAGCCCGAAGCCCGTTCGGGCAGGGCCTACTTTTGCAGATCTCTAGTCCAAAGTTTAAAAAATTTAAATAAATAAATTTTGAAGAAAAAAATAACATAAACCATTTTTAATTTAAAAATAAAATAGTGTTCTCAATAATTTTTCGTCATTTACAAAATTTATTTATTTGGGTAATTTTTAAGAACAAACTAGTAAGATATTAAAATATATGATGGGTTATTTTCCTTATTTTATTCTCGTTTTTTTGTATTTGGTTATGCTTTTTTTGTTTTTCTTTATTTTAGTTTTTACAATACTTTAAAAAAAATAGTGGGAGATTTCGGACATGTTACAAAATTTTATTAATTTGCGATAATTTATAAATTTTGATGTTTTTTTTCAAAACATTTTGGACACAATAAAATATTATTGTGCCTTCTATGAACAAAATCTTCAGGCTTGCGTAATATTTCTGAAGATATATATTGAGATAGCCGTTTATAAAAATCAGTTCGAAAGGAGCCCTTTTACAAAATACATTAAAATTAATATATCAAAATTGTAATGTACTTATAAATAAACTAAAAAAAATTGAGCAGACCCAGCGAATCGACTAAGTGAGCCGATTTTTTCGTCCCAAAATTTGGCTCCAAACACTAGCTAAAATAAAATCTAATTTTAAAAAATATTTATATTTTTTTACTAAATTCAATTTTATAAATTTATGTCTGACAGTGAATAATATCACCGGTATGGAAGAGATTTCCAGCTTAAATATTCAATGTTTATTGAAACTAGTGATGGGCGCGGGCCCTAAAAATACGACAGGTTGGGTCACGGCATGAGTGTGAATAAACTTTAAATTATTAGGCGCGACGTGCTTTCTCAAAATCTTTGCCGGGCGTGATTAGGCGTGAACATAAATTTCTCGCGAATCACGGAAATTTTAATTTTTAAAATTGTTTTTTTTATGAACAAATTTAGAATTTTATAATAATATATATTTTCGAATGTAATTTAGTTCTTTTTAAAACAAAAAAACTTCGCATTTTATAAACTTAAAATTTTTTTTTCCGTCTTATAAAATTTCAATTGAATGAAAAAAAATTTCTCAACTCTCGTTCAGCAATAGAAATTTGGGAATAATAAATTTAATTTAAATATGTTTTATTTACATTTATCTTTACTAAATATATACTAATCATTTGCACTTAAATTATAATCAGTCAAAATTTATAGGAAGATTCAACATCTTATACTTAGATGATTGTAGAGTCTTATGCACATACTTAAAATTATATCAATATTCAAAGAATGCTCGGTTTCTCACTAAAGGAAAGATTTATTATGCAGCTACTACATAAGGTAGGCTTAATTCTAGATTCGAATTTCAAAAGCCTTAAGTTTTTAATAGACGTAGAAAAGGAAGATATATAAATATATACATATATATAACAACCTTAAAAATGCTAAATGATATAAATTAGATGATATGTTTAAGTCAAAGACAACTATCACTTAAAACTTTTTGATTCATCCTACACACTTAAAAAACGGTATATTCGAAATAAAACATTTAGAGAATTTCAGATGATTCTGATGAAGCATCAACATCTAAAGAAGAAGGTAGATTCATCGCTCATAAAACAAATAATAATATGTTGCAGTTTTGGATACAAGAAAATTCATTCCCTTTTTTGAGAAAATCAGCAATTAAAATTTTGTAATCCCTGGCAAGTTAGGCTTCTAGTGAAAGATTATTTTCTATAGCCAATCGCTTATTGGAGGAAAGGCGAACATAATTGGAAGAAAAAACAAGGACTTTCTTTAAATAAAAATTTTTGATTTAGAAATTGTAATTATTTTGTGTTATTAATATGGAATTGAAGAAATAAAAACTATTATAGAATAAATTAAAAAAAGCGCAAAAATACAGCAATTAAGTTTTAAGAAATTTAAAAACACTGTGGATTTTCGGGCGTGATCAAAATATTGTTTTTCGTGAGGGGCAGGTCAGGTCAAATTTTTTTTAACAGTAAGCGATAAATGGCGTGATTTTTTTTATTGCCACTGTGAGGGGGCGGGCAGTGTATAAAAAATTAGGCCCAAGCTAACCTATAATTGAAACTCCTTTTATAAATTATAAAAAATACTGTCTTACCCAATTAATATTAAATTTAGGCTCGAGTCGCAGCTAAGTCGACTCGTCTTAGTCATTTAACAATGTTATACAATAAGGTATTATAAATTTCCTTAAAGATATGGCTCGGAAAGACTAAGTGAGTCTATTAATCTATTCAGCGATCGAATAATGCGGTTCATTTAGTCGAAACGAGTAGGAATAGTTAATACTTTAACTTGCTAAATGAAATTTTAAAAATAACATCATTTATCAGAGACTTGAAGAGGTATCATTTGCATGACCTTACCTTTATTTATTTTAAAAAAAATTTTAAGACCTGACCTGGATTTTTTTATAATATGTTACATTTATTTTTGATTTTTACCTAATAATAGCAATTTAAAATATACAGCTAGGCTAAGGTGTCTTTTAAAAAAAAACATGAAAATGCTGAAGATTTTAATGAAGGAGGGGGATCTCTGTGAATGAGTAGAAAATTTCGGATTCTTCTACTGATGAGGGGGGGGGCTGACAACCCTAGACATGAGAGACATTATAATTTATTACTATTTAGAAATTGATTTAGGTTCAAGAATAGATGCAAATAATCAATTTTTAAAATATAAATATGTATGTTATTAATATTATATATTTTCTTGATTTAAATATTAGCATGATAAAAATTTTCAGGCATACTGATATGGGTTTCAATTTGTAGATTAAGAGTTGAAGAATATATATATATACACACTTTAAAGATAAACCTGGCTTTTGTTAACATGGTCATTAGGATGAACAGGTGTCTTAGAGCCCATTTTCCCTCCCAACATTTCAATAGCCCTATTACTAATGACTTCATTGACATTCATATTAGTTTGAGTTCCTGAACCAGTTTGCCATATAGTCAATGGAAAATTAGTATCCAACTTTCCCTGAATAATCTAGATGAATTATATTAATACAATTAAGGAATATAATTAGGGATCCAATTATAATAGTGCGCACAAATTGAACGTTGCAACGCAGCGTTTCAAAACGCAAACAATGCATTTTAAATGCATTCGTTCAAATTGAGAACATTTCCATTTTTCATTTTAAATTATTTTTTAAAAGACAAACTTGCTTGCGTTTTTCAAAACTTTTTAAATTTTGAAGTGATAAAATTCTTCTAAATTGTAAGAATAATAATTCTTAAATGATATAATGAAGAGAATCATGATAATGGTGCGAGTAAGTAAAAATATAATTTATTATTATTTATTTATTTTATCTTCGTACACACACTATATATATTATCTAAAAATATAAATTAGAATACATATAATCAAAACGAAAAACAAAAAGTAATACTAAGTAAGGTTACAAAAATTAGATTAAAAATATAATTCAATTTTGAATATATAACATTCTCCTTCTTCTAAAAAGCCTTCACACTTTAATTATGTTATCGTAGTTAGTTTGTTCATCAAGTTGTTTCACCAGTCATCATATCGTTGGCTTGTCCCAATTGTTGGTTTGTTTAAATCGCAAGCTTGATATCCTTATCGTAAGTTGTCTCCATAAATCATGATTTTGTCATATAGCTTGTTTGGTAGTACTCAGTTGTTATTATTATCATCAGTAAGTTGCGAATAATAAGAAATAATAGTTCATCAAATTGGATATTAAGAATAAACGAAGAATGATAAATCAATAAGATTGTTATATAATATTTTCAGCGTTTTAATTTTTTGCGTTTTAGTGTAAGCGTTTTAATATTTAATTTACTTTATGCAATTTAATATTTTTTTATATTTTAAGTTATGTAGTCTTTTAAATAAACAGGTTTTTGTTTAATTCGCACAGGTCTAGAAATAGGTGTTATATCGTTATTATCAGTAATTTTTATATTTTTGTCAACACTTCCATCCTTGAAAGAATCCTTAGAGTCATAGTTAACAATTGTGTTAAAACAGTTTCTAATTCTTATTTGATATAAATGTCTCCTCAAAATACCTTTCTTTGTCTTAATTTGGAACATCATGTCACTTTCTTTATGTGTGATCATACCTTTGCACCATTTATCATCACCTTGTACTTTGTACCAAACAAAATCTCCTACGTTAAAGGTTCTATTACGTGGTAAAGTAACGTTTATTTTATTATTCTTCTCCTCCAACGGTTTTAATAAGTCCCATTTAATTCGAATATCTCGATTAAACATTTTCTGAGATGGTGTAACTCCTGTAGTATCATTACGCGTATTTCTGTAATTAAATAAAAATTTGCCAAGTGCGATATCTAGGTCAACCATAATATTCCTTTTCATATGTGTTTTGAACGTTCTCACCATGCGTTCTACCTGGCCATTGGATTGCTGGTGATACACAGATGTGAGCACATGTTTGATACCGAAATTGTTGCAAAATTTTTCAAAATCGTTACTATAGTTTCAGGTATTCTATATAGCGAAATAGTTTTAAAGATTTCTTTTAAAGTAACATCAGTCGTAATATTTTTAACAGGAATAATAATTGGAAATTTGCTGTAGGCATCGACTATTATCAATCAATTTTTTGTGAAAAACGGACCCGCATAATCTATGTGTATCCTTTCAAACGGTTTGGTTGCCGAAGCCCATGGTTTTTGTATCTTTATAGGATTATCATGATATATGTTACAATCGTCACAACTTTTCACTTCCATTACTATGTCATTATTTATACCAGGCCACCACATGTAATCTTTGGCTAAGGATTTGATTTTTCCTGCTCCCAAGTGACCTTCATGTAATGAATGTAGTATATTTTTTCTCATAGAAGACGGAATTATGATTCTGTTGCTTTTGTAAAGACAATCCTTAATTATACTTAATTCCAATTCAATGTTTTTATAAATATTATTCATTATAGGCCTGTTGTTTTTAATATCATGACTTGTTTTAATTCCATATCTTTCAAAGTTTCATCACGAATTTGATTAAAATTAATAGGTAAATCCCCATATTCATTTATTATAGTGATATTTTCAATAGTCTCATCATGACATTCTTGTGGTAATCTCAAGAGACAATCAGAAACAACATTATATTAACCGGCTTTATACTTTATATTAAAATCATATCCTCCTAATGTAATATTCCACTTCTGGAGTCTTAAGGACATGGTGCTATTATCCTTAAGACCCTTGGTAAAGATGTGAACTAGAAGTTTATGGTCAGTAATAATGGTAAATTTTGTGCCGATTAAGTATTCCTGGAACCTTCTTATAGCGAACATAATAGCGAGAGGCTCACGCTCAATATTGGTATAATTTATTTCGGATTTTAATAAAGTTCTTGAAGCGAAAGCTATAGGTTTTTCTTTACCATCTTTTTCAGTATGAAATAATACAGCTCCTAAACCACATTTCGATGCGTCAGTGGTTATTCCTATAGGTAATTCAGGGTTAAAATATGTCAAAGCAGGTGGAAGACTAATCAACTTCTTAAGATCCTTAAAACTTTTAGAGTGTTCAAGGTTCCAAGCCCATTTTTCTTTGTTGACAATCTTATATAGAGGATCGGCAATTTCTGCAAAATTGTTCAAAAATTTTCTATAGTAGCCAACCATTCCCAGAAATGTTGATAATTCAGCAGCTGATTTTGGTTCTGGCATATTAATTATTGCTTCAATTTTGTCGTGATTAGCATGAATTCCCTTAGCGTCAATATCATGACCCAGACCTCACTTTGTTTTTAAAGAACACACTTTTATTGAAGTTAGGTATCAGCCCAAACGATGATATTCTATCAAACACTTTTTTATGTTATTAAGGTGGGCTTCATCGTTTTTTTCAGTTATAAGTAAATCATCAATATAAAATATGACATCATCCATATCACCGAAGATTTGATCCATGATCTGTTGAAAAATTGCAGATGAGGTCTTAAGCCCAAAAGGAATTCTAGTAAATTGGTAATATCCCTTGTGTAGATATGGTTAAAATATATCTGCAACTTTTATCAATTGATATCTGTAAGAAAGCATTTTTAAAGTCAATCTTCGTAAATTTCTTTCCTTCTGAAAGTTTAGCTATGATCATAGATTCGTGGTAGAGGGTATCTGAAATCTTCTAGAGCTGGGTTTACAGTGTCCTTAAAATAAGCACAAGGCCTAATGCTCCCATCATCTTTGTAGACAGCGGTAACAGGACTTGCCCATCGGACATCATTCACCGGCTCAATTATTTTATCATGTATCCATTTTTTTAAGTTCATTACTAACAAGATCAATTTTTGAATAAGGGATACGTCTAGGCGGTATAATTTTAGGTTGGGCATCACTTCTTAAATGTAACTTGACACTTGCTTTGTTGATTGGCCCATTAGTTAATTTCGATTCACACTCTTTAATCAATTTTTTTATTTCATCTTCATAATTAGTGTCAACATTTGCTATAAATTTATTTAAAATGTTTTTGAAAGCATTGATCCATGTACGTCCCAACAAGGTATTTTTTCTTGATTCAACGACTACCGCTTGTAAATATTTTGAGATACCATCATAAATCACTTTAACTTGAGTGATGCCGATGATCTTGATTAAATTTCCGTCATAAGCGGTAAGTTGTAACTCGGATTTCTTAACATCTCTAAACCAAGTTTTTTAGCCAGACCATGAGGTATAATAGTATGTTTTGAGCCTGTATCGACTTGCATACATGTAACAATATCGTTCACTTTTAAAGTAGTCATAAATGCATTATCTTTGTCATTGAGCATGTCACCAGATAAGTTGTTACATTGAAATCGTTATCATTTTTGTTCTTTGTAGAGTCAACTTTCTCTTCAATAATTTCTTCAATATTCATATTGTAATCATTGTTGTATTGTATTTGCTTTGTATTATTGTTGTCGCTACCTCTATAATTATTTGAGTTGTTGTTATCTTGTATTTGCTTTCTCTGATTATTATCACTACCTCTATAATTATTTGAATTGTTGTAATAAGATTGGTAATTGTTACGATTTCCATCACCGAATTCGATCTGTTTTCTTTGATTATTATCATGCCATACGATAATTAGATTGATTATTATTTTTGTAGCGATAGTTATAGTAGTTATAGTTGTTATAATTATCGTGGTATCTCGAATTATTATTACCGTAATTCCTATCATTGTATCTAAAATTATTATTGTAATTCCCTTTTCTATCTCTATTATCATAATTATTTCTAAAATTATTATCAGGTCTAAAATAATTATTGTTGTCGTTTCTATTTCTATTGTAAAAGTTTTTATCTTTATCGGACTTTTTATCGTTATTCATATAACTTATATTATTAACATCTGACTTATCGCTGATGCTGTCTAATTTAATTCCTAGCTCAACCATCTCATTTAAGGTTAAATTAATATTTTTACAAAATTTATATTTTATTTTGTCTTTTAAGGTAGATGTACGTAATTTTTCTTTTAATCTACTGTCGGCCGAAAAATTATATTTTTTATGCAGTTTCGTTACTCTTATGTACCATTGCATGAAATTCTCACTCGAGTTCTGCTGTAATAAGTTAAATTTATTTATTAAAATTTTATCTTGCACAGGTAAAAGGTAAGTTAACTTTTTAGTCACAATTTTAAGATCTAATATGTCGGTATCGGAACAAATTGATTTAATGTTGTCAAAGACCTCGGCTGATAAATTAGTAAGTAAAGTATTTATTTTAATAGATTCCGATAATGTGCTGGTCGAAAAATAACTTAATATTCTGTCTAAGTAAATCTCAGTAAGTGGTCCAACCAATTTTGGAATTTTGTATATTAATTCAGGTTTTATTTCCATATTTTATTAATAAATCATATATATTGGAAATTATAACATTTCATATTTTAACAAAAATGCAATGTAAATGGATAAACTCTGACTCCTTATATACGTAATATTTGCCTATGGAACGATAAAATAAGCAAAAGATTTGGAGAAATCCTGGACTACCATAAAAAAAGTTTCATTGTTATGGAACATTTATCAGTTATTGTTTCCAGGTATAAATATATAAGAATGTTAAATATAATAATATAATTAGATTAGCATTGGAATTGACAAACTTCAAGGATAAGCTGAATAAGGAGAAAATAGGAAATCCTACTTATTATTTATTTTATTGGTAAGTTGATAATAACTACTTAGAAAATAAAGAGTAGGGCTGTGCCAACCCTCAAATTTTGTTCTGATATTACTACAAAGCCTATACAATCCTGATCCAAAATTTATATTGATTTTATTTACCATCTATATTTGAATAAATCCCACAAAATATTTTACTATTCATAAAAAATTATAAGTGTATTTTGTTTCTTTATTCTCAAAAAGTTAATTTTAAAATATTTGAAATGTTAATTTTCACGTGAAACCTAAAGTACTAAATGCTAATAAGTTAATAAATTTTGGAAGAAAAGCCATCTGGGATGCAGTAAAGCTAATTTTTATATTTTATTTAGACTTTTTATGAATAGCCTTGTAGAGTCTAGAAAACCAAGTGCTGTTTAAAACTCAGGTTTTAAAATTTCTACACTATCTGAAGACAAATGGTACCTTACCAACACTTACAAATGAATCTGCATTGACATATTTAATAGCATTATATAAATTATTTATTTATTATAAAAATATATTATATATTTTATATTAATTTTTATATTGACATTAGATTCTTCTAATAAAACTTTTATATATTATATTTGTCTCTATTTTCATATTTCAATTTAATTTTTCTTAACATTCAAATTATATTAGTGTTCAAATTAACATTTAATAGAAATTAAGAGATATATCAATATAATTTTTCTTAATATTCAATTAATTTAGTTATATCATTTAATTACTATGGTTGATATTGAGAATCTATTTATAGAAGCAACAAATAAATCTTATTTAGGTATAGTTTTCACACTATAAAATAATTAAATTATATGTCTTAAATTCTATGAAAATTTCAATTGTATCGTAAAAGAATAGAATTAATATTATTTTAAGTTTGAGGTTCATTCCCAAGCTTTAAAATAGCTCAATGGGCTACATCTTGAATAGTGTCCAAATTAACATGCAATAGAAATTAAGGGATATATCAAATAAATTTAACTTTCAATTAATTTAGTTATATCATTTAATTACTTTGGTTGATATTGAAAAATTATTTATAGAAGCAACAGATAAATCTCATTTAGAAATAGTTTTTACACTATAAAATAATTAAATTATTCTTAAATTCTATGAAAATTTTAATTGTATCAAAGAGAATACAATTAATATAATTTTAAGTTTGAGGTTCATTTCCTAAGCTTTAAAATAGCTCAATGGGCTACATCTAGAATAGTGTCCAAATTTACATGCAAAAGAAATTAAGGGATATATCAAATAAATTTTACTTAATATTCAATTAATTTAGTTATATCATTTAATTACTATGGTTGATATTGAAAAACTATTTATAGAAGCAACAGATAAATCTCATTTAGATATAGTTTTTACACTATAAAATAATTAAATTATTCTTAAATTCTATGAAAATTTTAATTGTATCAAAGAGAATACAATAATATTATTTTAAGCTTGTGGTACATTCCCCAAACTTTAAAATAGCTCAATGGGCTACATCTAGAATCATGTCCAAATTAACATGCAAGAAATTAAGGGATATATCAAATAAATTTTTCTTAATATTCAATTAATTTATATCATTTTAGAGATTAATGGATATATCAATTAAATTTTTCTTAATATTCAATTTATTTATATCATTTAATAACATAATGTCTATAAAAATTAAATATGTAAACATAATTTAATATAAAATATTTTCAAAAATAAATTTTATACAATAATAAATATTTAATAATTTATAAATTTGTCTCTAAGAATTTTTGATTCTATTGAATAAGATTTATTTTCCCTGCTAGGTAAGAAAGGTCTTGTAGTGATTATTTATTTTAAATTTAAATGCTTATTATTGAAAAAATAAAGCTTAACACATCAATTTAAACATGGACATTTTTTTATGTGTTTTGAAACGCTGCGTTGCAACGTTCAATTTGTGCACACTATAAGCCTATATTGAAAATAAATTTGTTATCTCATGCAATTTATTAGGGTTCAATATATAATATCATTCATATATAATATTAAATATCAAGAAAATTATTTCAAAATTGCAATAATTAAATTATTATCAAATATTTTTATAAGTTACTTCATCTGCTGCATTTTGAATTCCTTTTGAAATTTTGGGATCAAGTCCATAATCAATATTAACAATAGCAGCTGCTTTTTTAAGTATTGCCATGGCTCTTATAACCTTAATAGGCATAATTTCGGAAGTTCCCCCAATAGGAAAATTTTGCAAGGATCTAGCAGTTTGTGCCCCATAATATTTATCAAAAGGTACTTTCATTTCTCCCATGGTATCCTTTTCAATCCTATATTTTTGAGATTCATAATCTTGCTTCTTTTCGTTTTTTTCCATCTAAGATTTTTTAGACATATGAAAATAATAAAGTATATTTTATTAATTCGTAATGTCATACAATATATGAAGTATGCAAAGATATTTGTGGTCTTATGAAAATTGAAAAGTATTTTCGCAATTTTGTGCTCATATTGTATTCACAAATTTAACATACACTTGGAATGAAGAATATTTTAAATAAATTTAATCAGCTATTATGTAAAGTAAGAAGTATTTAAAATGTATTTGAGGAATTTAACATTAATAAAATAATACAATATTGTATTTTTGGATTTCTTATTAAATTTTTATCTTGAGCATTTATATAACATTTTAATCTTGATCATTTTATGATTATATCATTTATTACCTATCGTATGATTGTATTTTATAAACTTAATGCTTTAAACGAAATTAATATAAACTAACTTACTTTGTAACCCAATGATATATATAAATCATTGTTGTAACCGCATTAAATATTTTCTAAAATAGATCAGCTGATTGCTAATGATTTTGTCGCAATGCACACCATGGTAACTAAACGGAAAAATCTTAAATCTAATATAATCTCAAAAGCCTCCCCAGAGCTGACTCAGAAAATAGAGTTAATTAAAAAATTTATTTATATAAATACTTATTTAAAACATAGACAATATTATAATACTGAAAACACCAACATATGGATTTTATCTCCTATCAGTGCCTTTAAATTATTGCTATCAGTTAGATTAGTATCAGCATTATGGTCGAATATCTCAGACTGTGATGAAACTTATAATTATTGGGAACCTGTAAAAAATTATATGAAAGCATAAATTTAATTAATTGTAGACTCATTTTTTATTGTATAATTATGGCTTTGAAACCTGGGAATACTCTCCTTCTTATGCTCTCAGGTCCTATTTATATTTGTGGATTCATATGGCTCCTGTAAAGTTATATAAGTATTTCCAAAATAATAAGGTGAAATTAAAAATATCACCTAGATGTTTTTATATTTATATAGATTCTGATATTTTATACAATCCGTTGTTTCTTATCTTTTTTTGGTGCATATTCAGAATTAAATTTTTATATGTAACAATATTAATTATTTTGACCATTAAATAATTATATTTCCTAATCATTTAGTGGCTTGCTTAAAAGATTTCAGTCAAAGAAACATATCCCCTCTATGTATCTTTGGATTACATTATTTTCTGCTGGAATGTTTATATCTAGTTCTGCCTATTTGCCATCCACATTTGCTTTACATTTAATCACTTGCAGTTATGGTTTATTTTGGCAACAAGATACTATCAAAAAATTTAATCAATCTCAGAGCCATGAGTTAGGTGGTGAAAAAGATTATGTGAAAAAGGGACTAATGCAATATATATCTTTAAAGATGACAACTGTAAGTAATTACAAAATAACAGACTATTAATATTTTTTTGTTTTATTACATCTAGATCAAATATTCATTCGCAATATCTCTGATGGCCATGGCTGCCATTATTGGTTGGCCTTTTGCACTAATTTTAGGGTTATAAAATTTTTAATTTTATAGGCTGAAATTTCTAATAAAATTTATTTGAACCACTAGATACTATACAAAATTATAAAATCGATATTATTCATATTGTATTTGTGTTTTTATTTTCAAAAATAAAAAATCTTCAAAATTTTTATGAATAAATCTTTCAATATTTTTATCTTTAAATAATTTATGATTTCATCTTGAAAGATTTTTTATGCATGAAAATTATAAAATATTTACTAATAAAAGAGCATATTTAGAATTCTAGGCAAAATTTTATCAAAAATTTTTCTTCTTTATTTGAATATTAAAATTTAAAAAGATATTTATAGATGTAAAAAAAATAAAATGTTCCATAAAAATGTCTAAATAATTTTAAATATTTATGAATAAGTATTAATATTTACATTAGAGATATGCAATGGACAGATTTTTAGCCCACAAGCCAACCCATCCAATATTTTAAAAAATATACCTGCCCACCTGCCTATTAGTCTAAAAATTTATCCATAAAAAAATTTGACTCACACCATCTGTATAAAATTTAAATAGGCTCATTCTTTCAATTTTTTAAGCATCTAATAAAAAAAAAAGATTTATTTTCAGTCCTACAAAAAAGTTTTATAATTTAGGAAATTGCTATATTAAGCATATATCAATTTAAATTACAGATAAGTAATTTATTTGATCTAATGAAATATTTATGTAATAATATAAAATTAATATTTATTGATAGTTAAAACCTTCCAGTAATTCTAATTCCTCGTTCAGAAGAAGCACTGATTGGAATTGCCAATATTTTTCTAGCTAATCTTAATAGCTTTGATAAAACATTTTCTTGTCATTTCCATCAAAATGGGAAATTCGTTTCTAGTATATCCCTATTCAAGTCATATATTTATAAAAAGTGAAGCCAATAATATTAAACGCTTGGGATTATACATATATAGATCGTTTTACCAGATCTTTTCTGTCAACTCCACCACGGAAACTGAAAATACAAAAACAAATAAATATCGCCACCTTAATAATCTTTTGTTTATTCCAGTAGTCTCAGACACCTGTGGATCATCTGTACCCCAAGCCCTAAAATTATTCTAAACAATAGGGCAAAGGTTACGTTTAATCACAGGTGATCAAAAAGAAGGCTTCTACCTAACAAAGAATATCAATCGAAATTTGTAGATCCAACTATATATCTATACAATGGTCATTAAGCCCCGCCGACCAAACATAAATATATTATTTATTTATTTTTTTTAAATTCTCTTCCTTTAATAAAAAAAATGTAATTTAAACTAATTGTTTATAAATTATAAACTTAAACTAAACTAAGTAGCCTAAAATCTTGCTATAGTATAAAAAACGTTACCTTAAGATTTAAATATTTTGATATGGCATTAGGTAATGCTCTCCTCTGTAACAGTCACATCTTTCCGGTTTTAATTTTGACGTGGATGCTATATATTTCAAACATTGCATTTATAATTTAATAATCTTTAATTGAATTCTCTTTGCTTTTGGGGAAACAGGTAAAATCAGATTTTCACGTTGTTGTTATATTCTTCCATGCTAATCAAATCCAACATGCTTTCGAAAAAATATATTTTTCAAGCCAGGGCCAGATATTTTATTTATGATACTACCATCAGTCCTATCTGCAGGTCACATATGAACTGGTCTGATGGGCCAACACTTTAGGACTTCATTAAAATTTATATTATGGTTATGTGAGCACAGAAGAAAATTTTTTTGGAAACTTTAGGAAAAATAGATCCTTTTTTATTGAAAAATAATAACGTGAACTTTTTTTAAAATATTACATGAAATAACGAAGAATTAAAAAATTTTGAAAACATTGTCTCAATAATAACAACTTTTCAATAATACTCAAAAATCAGTTGAATATCTAATATTAGTAATGTTTTTTCCCTAAAATTTCTGGTATATTTTTTTTCTGTGCACAATCTATAATAAATTCCCAAAACATTTTAATTCTTGTTTCTTCAAAGCTAGGATCTACATATTTGGTGATTATTATTTTTTCATGAAATTATAAGTTGTGTTGTTACGTCATTTAGGCATATTAAAAAATAAATTATTTTGATATAATCAGCTCAATTTTATTCTCTTTTAAATGTTGCTCATTATAAATAATTATACTAACTTAATTTATAAAAAAAATATAAAATTCAGAGTTGTTAAGGAGCCGCTACACTTTTTCAAAAACACCTGGAGCACCCCTCCTTTTAAAATAAGGAGCGGGAATTAGCTCCTTTTAGGGCTGGATTGGAGGAGCGCCGCTCTATTGCTCTTTTAAATTTAATGTATAAATTAAATTATTTTTAAATATTAATAAATCTATTTATTTATTAATTAAAATTCAACAAAAATGAAATTTTATTTAAATTTATGCAATATTAAATGTTGAGCCGAGTTTTATATTGGTTTTTCATCTAATCAGTTAAAATATTAAACATCAAGTTTTTCTTTCTTTTTATATTGGAAATTTCGTGAAAAATTTTGCAAGCCATATTAATATTCATTTTATAGATATTTGATAAAAAATAGTTTTTGATATTATGGATTCAGATATCTTAGAAGAAGAAATCGAAATAAAAAATTAATTATCTATTTAAATAACTTTCTTGCATATTTTCAAATGTTTATAATGATGAAAATATCATTGCTGCTATTATCCTACCTGCATTCAAATTAAATTGGGAATGAATAAAATGTGCACAAAATATGTAACTAAATTACAATTAATTTTTTAAGAAAAATAACTATTAGTTCACGGGAACCCTGCAATGATTTGGAAATTTTTTTTTGGATTCTATGAAATTGATCATCAGAAGATAATATTGGATAAATATTTTTAAATAATGATATCAAAATCACCATTTTTGTTAAATTTTCTGAAATTAAATTTTTTATAAAATACAATACCCCGCTTCCCTCTAGTGCTCCTGTTGAGCGCCTGTATAGTATTGCTAAACAGGTTTTAGGGTAGAAGCGTGGAAGTTTGTTAGATTCAAATTTAAAAATTTTATTACTTTTGCTAATAAAAGATTAGAAATATTTTGATATATCATTTTATATAAATAAAACTTTTTGATAAAAAAATATGATTTTGTTTCGTGTACATTCTAAAAAAATGAAAATCAAAGGAGCGGCTATGGATGCACTTCATTACTTGGAGCGGGTGCTAGCTCCTTTTGAGAAGGTGGGAGCGGGAGCTAGCTACTTTTAAAAAGGAGCGTTAATACCTCTGGAATTTTTAAATATTATCATATTTAATTATTTATAACAAAATTTATTTAATATACTTTATTCATAAATTATATTAAATAGAATACCAATGGCTTTTGAAATGCTCATATTAAATAGAACGTATGCTCAATTCATTAAATGGAGTTTGATATCATTGTTTGGAACCTTGGTTTGTGAATAGATTAATTACAACGAAACCTTCAAACTTGGCCCAATAATTTTCTTATATTGCTATAACATGATCTTAGTCAAACTCTTAAAATTAAAGATGATCATAATGTTGACTGATAATGCCCTTGACTACTAATCACTATAGTTGGGTAATGGCTAAATATAGGTTAATTCGGCTCAATCTTCAGGCACCTGCCAAGAAAAACGTTAACATTAAGTTTATATTAATTTCTTCCAAATTTGAGTTGATATCTTTTTAAGAAAAACACCGAGCCAGAGTGACAGTTTTCGTTTAAACACTTTGTTTAGCCTATTTTTAGCCGACTAAAATTGGCTTAAACAGTTAAAAATTTAGTAATTATCCAAATATATTAATTACTTTATGGAGGTTTCGCTGTATTCAATATATTTTATTAGGGATGTACCGATATTTTTTATCGGATCTGGCCGATATTTCATCTTTTTGTGATATCAATTCTCGGCCAATAAAATAAAATTTTCCTATCCGATAAAATGGCCTCTTAATTTAAAAAATTCCAAATTTCATAATATATTTGATAAATATATTTGTTACTTATTATGTAAATAGATTAATGTTACTATAAAATTTTTTAATATACTTTTAGATTCATGAATATAAACTATAACTAAACATTATAATATATTAAAATGACTTATGTTATGGCATAGTTAAATTATAGATTTTATACTATATTAAAAAGTATATGAGTGAGTAAATTTATGTAGTGATGCAAAATCGCTCCATATGAGCCGATTTTTAAAAGCGGCTAACTATTCTTGCCAAAAATATTGCCTAAGTCTCGAAATTTTGCCAATATATGTCCAAACCTTTGTGCCATCTATGAGCAAAATTTTTAGGCTTGCGTGATATTTTTCTGGGTAGAATGGTGAGTTAGTTGTTTTAAAAATCGACTCAAATAGAACGATTTTCCAATACTAGATGCTTGCATTAAAAATTAAAACGTTTCAGAATACAAAATAATATCGGATCGGTAATCGGTCGATATCAATTTAATATCGGGTCGGATTCCAAAAAGTGGTATCGGTACACACCAATATTTTATTTTTTTTATCTTATTAAAAAAAATTTAAAACTTTTTTTAGATCCCTACCATTATTGTCGATTCTTTTTATTATGGGAAATTTGTATTAGCACCATTTAATTTGGTCGTCTACAATATATTCAGCAGTAAAGGACCCGAATTATATGGTTTGCATAAAAAATTTTATTTTCCAAATATCAATCTTTATCATAGAGGTTTAACAAGCGCCCTTTTCTTAATCGTGAAAGAACTGATCTTACCGGAATCGTATTCCAACATATATGAAGTACCTATCCTCTAAATTTCGGATATTAACCGTAAACTTTTGATCTACTTATAATTAAATAATTTTTCATAAAAAAAAATACTGTGTTGCTAAATGGTTGGATTGGAGCCTATTTTTAAAACGGCTAAGTCAATATTTTAGCAGAAAAATTTTGCATAAGCCTCGAGATTTTGCTATAATGTCTAAACCTTTGTGTCATTTATGAGCAAAATCCTTAGACTTGGGTAATATTTTTTTTGGATAAAATATTGAGTTGGCCATTCTTAGAAATCGGCTTTAATCGAACCCTTTAACAACATTATTTCATACATTCATGGTGAAATTGTCTGAAATTAACAGGGTAGATACTCTATACATGCATGAATACGATTCTGGTAAAATCCCTTAAAATTAGAAGCATATGCTGTATTAATTTGCTAAAAAAAAAACTAGGTCACTAAATCATAGCCCCAAATTTATTAAATCCTTACAACATATAGAGTATAACTTCCCAAAGTAGTAGACTTAAAAAATTAATTTCATAGTTATATTTTTCACCAAAATTGTAAAATAAAAAAGTGCTTGTAGTAAAATATGGTTTAAAAAACTTAATCACTATTTTATAAGAAAATTCCTGAAATATGACCAGTTATTCAGTTTTGTCTTTTTTAATAATATAATATTATATTAAAACGTGAGCCGTAAAATATATTAGTCCACAAGGAAAAGACAATATAAAAGTCATTATTATTTAAAAAATACAGACTTTAAATGAAAAATTTTCTAATCTGCTTTACCGGTTTAATCTGGATTCCCCAGACCGGACTCAAATATGACCGCGAAGAGCTCTATTCCTCCAAATGCACTTGTAAAAAATGATTTTGAACTATACGCACAATGCGTACTTGCTTTGGTAGAGCCAGGCCTGATGACAGGTGTTCTATATCGCACATATAGACTAGAAGCGGTACCATTCATTAGAATAAAAAACACTAATACCACTGTCCAAAATTCTTATCACTGACCATTTTAAACGCTTAAAAGCGGGAAAATGTTATATAATAGCGGGTTATAAACTGTAATTGGATCTTTCATTTTAAAAAATTATATTTTGTTAGCATTGAGATTTGTTCATTAAAATGAACGTCTATTTATGTATTGTAACATGAGGCAAAGTAAATGTAATATTTTATTTTACAGGGGTGGAGCCATGGCATTTCTATTTCGTAAATTTGTTCCTAAACTTCAATCTTGCCTTCTTAGCTGCCCTTTTAACACTGCCATTATTAGTATAATACTTTATATATTATGCACACTTTTTTATCGGGTTAAATAGATATACCTATATAAACATAGCAAAAAAGTTCTACTATACATTTAATTTTGATTTTATTACGTGTCCCTCGATATTAATTTTGATTTAAAATATCTGTCGAATTTTGATTATTTTTAATTATTAATGAGGCTTAGATACATAGGTCCGAATCCGGATCATGTATGGGGTGGACCACCCAAAATAGGTCTAATACAGGATTCTAATAATCCTGCTCAATTTTTATAGATAGGGCACTCTGTTCAGGGTTTAAAGGGTAATACAGTCTGTCTGAATATATAGTACCCTTATCTCATTTAAAGGGTTATTTCAAAAAAAATAGTTACGCCAGGGATTAAGCTTGGCCCCCCTGCCATCTTGTTCACGAATTTCAATAGAGCCAATTTATATTTTAATAAAAAATGTTAAAGAATGCTTGATTGTCTGTTATTTGTATTGTGAAATTTATTGTATTTTAAAATTTTATTTAAATGATTGTGAAAATAAAAAATTTGAAAAAAAAATAAATATTATAGCAATAAAATCTTTTTTAAAAAACCCAAAAATAAATACGGGGTTTTTCATCCCTAGTCCCCCCCCCCATCACTATATTATTCTGTTCTATATTAATTTCTAACAATTATATTAAAGCTCTTACTCATCGTTGTTCAATATTTCGTTAAAAGTAAACCATGCGAGGAAAAAAAACCGAAAAGTATAACCACTATTCAATTTAATTTACTATTTTATGCTCAAAACTAGTAAAGGCCACGGTTTGGTCTTATCTGGACTATGATCCTAATTTAAATATCCAGCGGAACCGCCATCTTTAATTCAAAGACCGGAAACAGGACCAAGGTCCGGACCGATTTATTTTCTAAAATATTTCTATACATATATGTTTCTCAAATAATTTTTTCGAATAATATTTACCTAGTTTCAATTATAAATAGTGTTGGATAGATTTTTTTTAAAGAAGATAAATTTCTTAAATAGATATTACATTTTTGATGTTGATTATGGTGAGGGTTTTTAGTGATCTGCATTGGGCCTAATTTTTCAAACCCGGCCCGAAACTTTTTTAAAAATAATTTATCCTGCCTAGCCCGATCCCGAGCGAATTTTTTTTTATTTGTCCCAAAAAGCCCGACCCAAAATAAAAATTATTTGTCCGCCCTGCCCGAATTTATTTAACTATAGAAAATTTAATTTTTTTGATTGTAAAAAAATATTTTACAAATAAAAAATATTAGCACCTTGTTTCTTGCAGGAATTTTTAAAATATATCAATTTATTTGACATAGTGTAATGATATCATATAACCCGGCCCAAAATTTTTTAAAACAGCCCGTACCGATGTTTTTTTAAAAAAAAATTAACCCGGCCATGATTTGCAGATTTCTAATGGTTATATTTGTTATTGTATCCTGATATTGATTTCAGATCGTCAAATGAGTGTTATATAGTGTTCTATTTCCATTTTTTTACAAAATGTTTTTTTATAAATAAATTCTTCAGTACTATATTCTTATGTATCCAATACAAGGAATACTTTTAAAAAATGCTCTCCTGAAAAATTATAAAAAATAAATGTAGAACACTATAATACTCAGCCGACGAAATACATTTAAAAAAAATAATGGGAGGAAAGAGATCTCTTTTTGTGAATACAAATAATTTCAATATTTTTAAAAAAAAATTACATTAACTTTTTATCAAACAAAATTTAACTTTTTCGATTTGAGATCGAATTTAAATTTGAGATTCATAACGTTTTTTTTAAATATTTTAAATCGAATACTAATTATAATAATAAAAACTACCCCCCAAAATCCTACCTTCAGCCTCATCGTGGCGGGGGAGTGGCAACGCCTTTTGGCGGCTAATGGAGGTCATAAAGATTCTCTATGGTCTGGGTCTTGAATAGGATCACCGTCTCCTCGACGGGGTGTAAGAACCATAAAGGGGTTGATGTCAGAAAGGGCATCCGAATGTAAAAACCTTGCTACAAAATTTCCTAATGATTAAATCAGAGGGAAAACTGGCCAACCTGGGTAATCCTGGAAATCGCCATTAAACGGGAGAAGAAAAAGAATAGACTATATTATTTTTAGCCCAATAAAAACTTAAATGCTCAGAATTTTTTCCCTTTAATTACTTAGAATTAAAAATAAACTTAAAACTCGTTTTTACTCAATTTCACATATATTTTTCTTGAAATCCAAGGCTATTTTCTACGCGTTTTATATATTTTTCTGAGCGATTAATTTCTTTTCAGTTTTATACCTGAACCCATTTAGTATTTTTTTTTGGCAATTAAGCTTTTTTTTATCTGATCGTTAAAAAGTATTCAATATTTATTCTGAGTGTTTGTGTCTGGTTCAACCTATTACTAAACAGCTGCCTATTTAGTATCGACTAAAGAGTCTAAAAGCCAAAAATAATTTTTTAAATAAAAATCAAAAATACTAAAAAAAAGGAAAAATTAACAATGCCACCAAATACTTAAAACAAACCAAAATAGGGTGTCCTAGTTCAAAAGCTGTTTAGTCTAGGCTGAACAGCAATTAAGTATAAAAATTAAGTCGAAACAGGACATTTTTTCTGAGCATTTTAGTTTTAATTGTGAGCAATTAGGAGCTAATAAATATATTTAATCGGTCTAAATGAAGGACTGATAGATATCGAACTTGACCGTTGGCCTTCACTACTCAGTCAAAACTATAAAAAATACTGTCTAAATCTTATGATTAATTGAAGTCCTTGTTGGGCATTGTTTTTCTTAAATATAAAATTTTCATATGTCTCGTTCAATAAAAGAAAAATCTTTTTAGATATAACATTTCTGGTTTTACAATGTCTATAAGTTACTAATTTAAGATAATATACTATTTTAGATTTAAAATATTATTTTAAAAAAGTTGAAATATCAAAACATTTGCTCATATTGACGCCTTTTTATTTATGGGCCTTGGTTTTCTTCACTCAACCCCACAAGGTATATTATATTAATTAAATATTTTCGATATATTTATTTTTGAACTTTTATATAGTAGAGTAAGTACAAACGTTATATTACGTAATATAACGGTCAAAAAAGAATTGCTTGAAATATATGCTTATAATTAATTTTTAAGAAAAATGTTACCATGATTATATATATTTATATAAATATTTATTTTCGCAATCTTAGCAATTGAAAATACCAAATAATTATGTATAACATATAATAATTGTATCCACAAAAAAAAATTAAAATAGGAGGAACGGTTTATATTCCCATGCTATTCTTTCATCATTTTAAACGCCGCGTTATTTTTCGACTATTTTTCGGTAATTAATATTTCATTGACGGTTATTTTGTCTTCTAAAATAAAAATATTAATTTTTTTATGGGATACACTTATCTTAACATTACATATTTTTTATATTGGCAAATAAGGTATTTTTATTACCGTTAAATACAAATATTGTTATGATCGAAGCTTCCTTTTTTCAATTTCACATTAAACAGATCTTTATTCTAAAATATTTACAGAAAGAAAAGAAGAAAGGGAAGGAAGCTAAAATAAACATTTCCCAAGCAAGCTCGGATTTATTTTGATTTAATTCTTGGGAAAATTAATTATATATAATGAGATGTAACTTTTTTGTGGGTTAGTGTTTAAAAATTTTAGGTTATCCTCTTATTGCGATTCTCAGGGGACTAGAAATTTAAAACGACTTAAAAAGTGGAAAACACTAAAATCCAGAGATATCTTTTAAATTATAAGATTTCTTTTCTGAGACCCCTTATAAAATGGGTGTATTTGCATTTATCATTCTCAATCATCAATTTTAATCAATTAGGAAATTATCTCTTGGCTTACCACCGCAACCTCAAAAAGAGTTTATTTCTACTCGGTGATTATATTTTTTAGTCTTTTCCTGCCATTATCCTTGTCACGCTCTATGGCTCTAGTCAAAAGTATAAGATAATTTATTTTTTTAAATGAATTGAATAATTCGAATTATTTTGAATAAAACATGTCTAAAATTATTCGCAAGAATTTATGATGAAACTTTTTTTAAAAAAATATAACAACTTTATATCATATTCGCTGATACAAAGTTAATTAATATTATTCGAACCATCGGTAGAAAATGCAGTAAATTAACTTAATCTTTTTACCTAACATTAAACCAATATTTCCTCACATAAGACTATCATTCAACCATCGACATATATGCCCATATATATTCGAGAAACGAAGAATTATTCGAATACAGTTCCAAAATTGATATCACGCATTACTCTTCGCATATTATTAAGCCACGCATCGTGTGTACTGGTAAGGATTGGTATCGATTTCCTAGTCATTTCTTTTTACCTGAAAAGTAAATAGATATAATATTTATTTATTTTTAAATAAATATGGTTTTATTTTGTGGGTTATAATGAGTCTATTTAAGAAAAGAATTCTACTAAGTGCTATTTGTACCAAACCCAAAATTGGATGAATCAAGATTTTGGATCCAAATTTCCAAAGAATAAGCAATTAACAATACTTTTTTTTATATTCGGCATTTTGCATGATATTTAATTTAATATATTGCTTAACTATTCTCAACAAACCAACATATTTATAATAATGTTTGTATTCTTTTTTTATATGCCATTCATTTTTCATATTATGCGAACATATAGTTGGACGTTACATTTTTTGAAGTCCGAATTTAGGGCTCAATTACCAAAACATTACAATACTAGCGATCGATATGCTACTCGGAAAATTCCAGAAAATATTAATGATCTCAACAGGGAAGAACTAACTAGATATGTTAGATATATATTTATATTTAAAAATAATTAAAACGAATACAGTTTAACCTGAGGTTTATAAAGAGTTATAAATATGGAGAGTTGAAAAGAGGTCTCATTCCATCTAAATAGACTCCCCCTCCCCCCTCTTTTTCCAACTTGATTTCTGAAAGATTCTAGAATAAACAACTATTAAATTTACATATTTGATTAGTTAATATAATTTTAAAAACTGAAATAATCCATAGATATATTAATGTTATGTAACATAATTTTTTTATTAAAATATAACTCTGCAAGGCAGATATATTTTAGTAATGTAGTTTTTATTTTTTGTCATAAAGTAATTAAAAATAACTTGCAAACTATGTATTAAAAAACATATAAGAAATATAATTTAAAATACATATTAAAAATATTTTTTTTGAAACAAACATTAAAAAAAAGAGCTATCTACACCTGGCGACGGCTAGGAATCTTTGTATAATTTAACATTATAACGTTTGTTGTTTGAAAAAATCCCTCGAAATTGTTGTTTTATGGCACTTTTTTTGTTCTGTTTACCGAATAAACAATTTGTTGAAACCACGATTGGTATGAATATATTGTTTTCGTGTGAATATTTTAGTGATATTCTTATCTCGGCAATACTTAATGGATCATGATTATTATTTGAGGATGCAAAAATATCTATCTCCCAGGGAATTAAAGTATGTATATCAGGCCGTGAACCATTGAGTAGTAATGTACACTACATGTATAATTGCATTATAATACATGATAATATCGATATAATAGAAATATATGTATGAATGTATGTATTATATTATTTATATATTATGAATTAGTGTATTCGTTAATTATATGTTTTATAATGATTATATATGTATAATTGATTATATATGTATAATATCGAGTGGTAATGTTTAACTGCCTAATATAATTAGAATGTAGAAACTTCTATTATATCTGGATTTATGTTATGTTTTTATTGTTATATCTATGAATGGTCATGGTTGTATAAATAAATGAATTTGTTATGAATTATCCTATGTTTTCTGACATGTGAAATTATCCCATTTATTATATTGATAACTGAAGTATTTCGCTGTTCTAGATGTGACGGAACTTCACCTTTAAATAATAAATTTTGGATTATTTTTTAATTTTTTCATGCCTCATGTATTGTATCTATTAAAAAGACAATGGAGAGGATATCCTTCATTTACTTTTTATAGGGTTGAGATATTTTTCCCCCGAACCTGACTGTCACTGCAAAACTAAATTCGACGTTTGTAATAAGTGATCTTGTATTTTTGTTTGGATAGGCCTCTATCCATTCATAGCCGGAATTGTTCATAACCACTGAACAGAGGTCAAGCTGTTTTTAGTAATTGCTCGAAGTAAATAATCTACATAGCGTGACACGATAGTTACATCCCAATCCTTTTGTGAGATTATTTATTCTTTTTTTAAAAAGAAATAATATGAGGTACTTAGGATCTTTTTTTTTTTTTTTTTTTTTCTCTTTAGCTTTCACCTTTTCTGGTGGTAAGCTCCTTCAACATCTCTCTCCACTTTATGTTATTCGTACAATCTCTTTTATCTATTTTATACTTCTTTATATTGGCTCTAACTTTATGGCCCCATTGAAGTTTTGGCCTTCCTCTTTTACGTTTGCCTATCACTTCCAATCTTTCAACTTTATTTCCTATGTAGTTCATAGGCCTTCTCATTGTGTGCCCATACCACCTAAGTCTGTTTACCATTAACTTAGTCTTAATGGACACTACCTTTAAACTATTTAGTATTCTTGTACTGCGCACCTTATCCTTTCTTGTTACCCCAGCAATCATCCTCAGCATTCTCATCTCCATAGTTTGTAGACTTCTCTCGTCTGATTCTTTGGTTGGCCATGTTTCCGAACTATATAGAATAGTTGGTTGTACTATGGAACTGTAAATTTTTCCCTTTAATTTGTGTGGGATTCTTTTGTCAAATAGCACTCCAGATAAAGATCTCCACTTTAACCACCCTTGATTAATCTTATTCTTTATCTCTTTTTCTATTGTGCCGTTTGTTTGTATAGTGGAGCCCAAATATTTGCAGCTTTCAATTGCGGATATCTGCCAATCATTTATATCAATACTCTCCGTTTCATCTCCTCCTATCACCATATACTCCGTCTTTTCTCTATTTACTTTTAATCCGTGCGTTTCTAGGATATTTATCCAATTCACTAACCTTTCTTTCATTTCATCCTTGGATTCGGCAAGTATCACAATATCATCTGCAAATATCATATTCCACGGGACTGTTTGAGGTATAGACTGTGCTAATACATCTATTACTGTAATGAAGAGAAGTGGGCTGAGAGCCGACCCTTGATGAACTCCTTCGGCTATTGTAAAGCCTGCTGAAGTACCTGTTGTGCTACGGACCATTGTTGTATGTCCCATATACATATCCTCTATTATTCTTATATATTTTTCTGGAACTTTTTTGTGGCGTAGCGCCCACCAGATAAGTTTTCTTGGGATTCTATCAAAGGCCTTTTCTAGATCGAGAAAGACCATGTGTAGCTTTTTGTTCTTTTCCCTGTATTTTTCACTCATTTGCCTAATTGCATGGATAGCATCGGTTGTTGATCTTCCAGGCATAAAGCCAAACTGTGTCTCTCCTATTTCGATTATATCTCTTAATCTTTTTTCTATTATTTTTTCGTATAGTTTTAGACAGTGTGACATTAGTTTTATGCCCCTGTAATTTTGACAATTGTGTGGATCCCCTTTATTTTTGAAGATAGGAACTAGATAGCTCTGCCTCCATTTTTGGGGGACCTCTTCATTTCCAAGTATTTTATTGTACAGATTTGTGAGGAGATGTATTCCATCATCTCCTAGTGCTTTAAGGCTTTCTATTGGAATATCGTCTGGACCCCTAGCTTTGTTGTTTTTCATATGCTTGAGGCATGTGATTATTTCTTGTTCTGTTATAGGTTGTACAAGGTTCTGACAAGGGGAGTGTTCGTCGAGATGCAATATGTGGGAATTAAAGTTGAGAAGCTCCTGAAAATATTCTTTCCATCTATTCATTATTTCTTTTTCCTTTATTATCAATTTCCCATCTTTATTTTTGATTACTTTCGGAGCTCCGTTTATATCCCTAGAGTTCTTTTCTCGCTGTTTGGCTAATCTGTATATTTTATTTTGCCCTTCTTTGGTATGTAGATCTTCGTACATGTCATCGTATGCCATAGATTTGGCCCTAGCCAACGCCTTTGTAGCTAATCTCTTGGATTTTTTGTATCTTGACTTGTCATCTGCATTTTTGGATTTGTACCATATTTTATAAAGGGCTTTTTTCTCCTGTATAGTGGTTTGTACCTCTTGATTCCACCACCATAGTTCTTTGTGTGATTTGTTGCCTCCTCTTGTCAAGCCTAGCGTCGATTTTGCAGTGTCTATTAATCTGGATGAAAGGTCTGTCCATATTTTTTCACTGACTTGTGAGCAATTTATTGTTTCGTTTGCATTGATTGCAAAGACATCTGTCATTGTTTTTAATTTGCCCCATTTGATGCATGGTTCCGGTTTTATCTTATTTTGAGTGGATTTATTTGAGATTTGTAAATCCATGATTAGTAGCTTGTGTTGCGCGGCGATATCTTCTCCTGGGATGACTTTGCAGTCTATTACATCTTTTAATCTTCTGCGAGAGATTAGCATGTAATCTATCTGTGTTTTCCTAGTACCACTTTCATATGTTATTAAATGACTATCTTTTTTCCTATAGTAGGTGTTGGTTAAGGCAAGGTCGAAGGCTTGCGCAAATTTCAGTACGTGCTCTCCTTCATCATTTCTTTCTCCGTATCCAAAACCACCATGATGCCTTTTGTAGCTATCTCTTGCTTTCCCCACATGCGCATTTAAGTCACCACCAATTATGACTAGGTCATCCTTAGGGATTTCCATTACGGCTTCATCAAGGATAGCTCTAAAGTCATCTTTCTCTTCTTCCTTGCAACCCGTTTGAGGAGCATATACTGATAGGATGTGTAGTATTGATTGACCAATGCAGAGTATAAATCAGTTTTTTTAATTAGAACATTACCATTATAAAAATAATTCGAAACAATAATTTTCTTTATTCGATCAATTAAATCCTCGTAAGAATTCCCGTCCGTAATATGGAGAAGATAAATATAATAATGAATAATTTATTCATTTTTTTACGCGTCATATTTTCTAAAATAATTTTTTTTAAAAAAATAAATTAATAATATTGATTTTACAAAAAAAATACCAGAGTTGTTAACGCTCCTTTTTAAAAGTAGCTAGCTCCCGCTCCCGCTCTTACCTTCTCAAAAGGAGCTAGCTCCCGCTCCAAGTAATGGAGTGCCACTCCATAACCGCTCCTTTGATTTTCATTTTTTAGAGGGTATACGAAATAAAATCTTATTTTTTTTTATCAAAAAGCTTTATTTATATTAAATTATCTATCAAAATATTTATAATCTTTTATTAGCTTTTAAAAGTAATAAATTTTAAATTAGAATCTATCAAACATCCACGCCTCTCCCCTAAGACCTGTTTTGCAATACTAAATAGGCACTCCACAGGAGCACTAGAGGCAGGGTTTAGAACCGTTTAGTATAACGGTTCGGTTCGTTCCGGTTTTTAGTTTAAAATTTTATAAAGGTTTTGTTCCATTTCGGTTTTTATCATATCGGTTCGGTTCGGTTTATAATTTATAACGGTTCTTTTTGGTTTGTTCCGGTTTTTATAAATTTAATTTTAAAAAAAATTAATCATTAACCATGTATATATTAATTTTAGAGAAAAATCTTTTTAGTTTATAATTTCTTATTTAATTTATCCATGATAATCTAATAGATATTTTTATTAAATTTAGGAAATATAAGTTAGACAAATTAGTTTTTTTTTATTTCATAAATAAATAAGATAAAAACAAACATGCGTAAATACAATAATGAATAAAATAATATGTATACTATACTATTTAGGTTTAAAAAGAGAATTCGAACGGATAACTAAAATATTTTCTAATATTTCAGGATTTAATTTAGTTCTCTGCGCAGAGAGTATAAACTTGAAGCTTGAAAATGCTCTTTCTATGGAGACCTGCGTAGCTGGAACTGCTACAGTTATAGCTAACTTATAAAGTTCTGGCATACTATTCCAATAATTCAAAAGATTAGTATCTTTTTCTAATCTCTCTATATTATCAAATGACCGAATTATATATTCTATTTCTATACATTTATTATAATTTTCGATGCCCTGAGAATTATTCTTATTAAGACTTTCATGCGACTTTAATAAATCTTCAAAATCATCATCTAAATTATCCTTCGAATACGAACACGTAGGTATAGTATTTAGAATTTCAATATTCTGATTATTTAGATTTTGTATCAAGTTCCAAGTTTTACAAAGATGTTTTCTGGCGATCTCTCTTTCTTCAAAAGTTAAAAATACATTATATCTAGGGTCGAGATAAATAGCAGAGCAAAAAACTTCATTTTTGAAATTTATTTCTCGTGCTTTCATCGTAGAAACTAAAAGTCTGGCAAATGGAGTGTCTACTTTACTCGTTTGCATGAGACACTTGATCCATGCAGCATAAAAATCGCCCATTGTCAATTGTTCACTTTGTAAATATTTTGTCAAAACATAAGCTGGATATAAAGCTTTTAATATGTCACTAATTATTTTCCATTCATTCTCTGATTAACATTTTTCGCGATCGCTTTGGAGCGATATTTCTTGGCAAAAGCTTTTTAACTCTAGTAATCTCTCCAACATTAAATAGATAGAGTTCCATCTTGTGCAACAATCTATTAGTAGTTTTTTCAAATTTAATTTTGAGAGAATAGCCATTGTTGTCTGATTTCTTATTTTTTTGCAGATGTTTCTTGCTTTATTTATAATGACAATTTCATTTGAATTTTTAATGCAATCATTAATTGCTAATTGAAATGTATGTGAATCACATCTAATACCTATTAATATGGATCTGGCATTTGATGCAAGATTAATATTTTCAATATTAAAAGGTTCTTTATTTTCATCATGAATTATATCATTATTATTTAAATCATCATTATCTATATCATTATTATTTAAATCATCATTAATTAAATAATCGTTAAGGTCATCATCTTCTTCATCGTGTAGTATTAATAGCTTAATTAACTTAATCATATTTGCTGCATTATCGGTGATTGTGTAAATCTGCTCAATTTTTATTTCATATTCTTTTAGAACATCTAGAATAATTTTTTTAAGATATTCTGTGTGTCGTTCTTTAATCACTTTCATGCATAGAGTCCTTAATTTTATTTTTCCGTTATTTATAAATTGAATATTGATCCCTATCATATCTAGTTGGTATATCTAATTTTAACGAAATAAGTTTTTGATATACTTCCTTTTTTATATTTTCCGAAAAATCTAACGCCATTTTTTTAATATTATTGCTTATATTTTCCGAATTGATAGTTAAATTTCCACCCAATCCTATAATTATTGGATCTATAATATTTCGAAATGCTTTGTCGTCACTTGATTTTATTGGCCTACCGTGAACTGTTATTAGCTCGGTGCTGGAGCGGATTAAAGTTTCTTTATTTATATTGATTTGTATTGTAGTAGTGTTGGACTTAAAAGCATCTTGGATTGTATTATACTGGTTTGCAGTTTTCGTTATTTGAATTTTTTTAATAGTCAAATTTTCTTTCTTTTTTCTTAATAATTTGAATTCCCTATTGTGGAATCTTTCTATATGTCGTTCAAGATTTGCAGCATGGTCCCCAGTTAAGACTTTACCACAATCTTCTATTTTACAAATAGATTGATTTTTTATGATATCTAATTTAAAATAGGAACCCACAGGATTTGACTTTTCCCGAACCATTTAATAGATAACTAAAAAGCTATATGATGATAAATGAAAATCTTTTATTATATAAATAGAATAAATAAAAAAGCTTAATAGAAACAATTTTACCTTCATTTTTATTTTTTTAAATAACTTGGATTATAGAATTTAAATGACAATAAATAAAATGGTCATCAATAAATATTTTAATGATATAATAATTTTTTAATTATAAAAATCATATTTTTTTTTAAATTCAGAATTCTAATATTTATTATTAAAATAATATGTTAGTTAGCATTTACCATTATCATATATGCAAAATAAAAAAAAATATGATTAAAGAATGGCATTTGTAATGAATATTTTTCTAAATCTGTATATTTAAATAATAAAAATCTTACTATAAATCTTCAGTTTAAATAAGTTAACTAACATTGCATTAAATTATTTTATACTTTTATTTATTTGTGTTTTATATTAAATAGACTTACATTTAAAAATAGGAATTACATTTTGATGTTAAACTAAATATAACTAGTATAGTTTAATTCAAATTACCCACTCTGATATATTCTATATAAACTAAGATAAACTTTTTTTGAATATATCAATTAATAAGAAATTATTGTAAAACAATATTATATAAAAATTGGTCAGCACTTTATTTCTATTAGATGTTAATATAATATGACAGAATAGGTAATTTAAGTTAAACTATAGTATTTATATTTTTAATATCAAAATGTAATTCCTACTTTTAATTCACTGTAAGTTTATTTAAATATAAAACACATTAATAAATAAATAAAAGTATAAAAATAATTTAATGCAATGTTAATTAACTTATTTAAACAGAAGATTTATAGTAAGATTTTTATTATTTAAAAATACAGATTTAGAAAAATATTCATTACAAATGCCATTCTTTAATCATATATTTTTATTTTGCATATATGATAATGGTAAATGCTAACTAACATATTATAATAATAAATAATTTATAATATTAGAATTCTGAATTTAAAAAAGACAATGATTATAAATAAAAAATTATTATATCATTAAAATATTGCTGTCTATTTTATTTATTGTCATTTAAATTCTATGATTCAAGTTTTTATAATGAGATAAAAAATAAACCATATAATATAAAAATGAATGTAAAAGGTACTTGATTTCGTTATTTATTAATAATAGAATTATATAATTTTTTCCTAATTATTAGCAGGTATTATTCTAAAAGCTTATTAATATCTTATATATAAATTTGTTAATTTAGCCAAGAATAATTATGTCTGATTTTAAGATATCTTATCTAATTAACAGATAAATTGTCTAATCTCTAACAAATCTGGTATTATTTGATATATAATGTTGATAATATAAAAATATTTAATTTGATATATAATGTTGATAATATAGAAATATTTAATTTGATAAGAAATCACCAATTTAAAAAATGCCCCCAAGGAAAATTAAAATTTTAAATTTAGGTTAATAATTTAAAATTAATTATTTTTAAAACCGTTTTGAACCGGTTAACGGTTTGGTTCGCTCTTTTAATATTTTCTTCATAACGGTTCGGTTAAGGTTACGGTTCAGAAAATCATAACGGTTCATTCCGGTTTTGCGGTTCGGTTCGAACCCCTGACTAGAGGGAAGCAGGGTATTGTATTTTATAAAGATATTTTTTAATTCAGGGAATTGATCAAAAATAGTAATTTTGGTATCATTATTTAAAAAATATTTGTTCAATATATTATCTTTCTGATGATCAATTTCATGGAATCCAAAAAAATCTTCCAAATTAATTAGTATTTAAAAAAAAGATTTTTTACTTTTAGATGCTTTTTTAGATTGAAGCTGCTCACTTTTGAAAATTAAATAGTTTTATTTAAACGTTTGATCATTTGGATCAACATCTTTTAAAAGTTTAAAATATTTTTTGTATGATGGAAATGGAAATTCGATTTATTCATCTATGATATCTAAATCCATAATATCTAAAACTATTTTTTATTATATATCTATAAAACGAATATTAATATGACTCCAAAAAATTTTCAATATAAAAAGGAAAACTTGATGTTTAATATTTAAAATGATTAGATGAAAAACCAATATAAAACTCGGTTTAACTTTAATAATGGTTAAATTTAAAATAAATAAAATTTCATTTTTATTAAATTTAATTAATAAATATTATTAATATTTAAAAAATAATTTAATTTATACATTAAATTTAAAGGAGGGGTGGAGCGGCGCTCCTCCACTTCAGCCCTAAAAGGAGCTAGCTCCCGCTCCCGCTCCCCAATTTTGTTTTTGAAAATTGTAGAGAAATACTATAAATAAAAAAATATATAAATTTATTAATTCTAGTAATAAAAAAATACTGATCAAAATAACTGATTCTATACAACAATATTAAATACCTAATATTACTTCTTTTTTTAAAAACGATAAATATAAACTACAGTACTAAAATATATACGCAGCCGCCTAGCACAATAATATGTATATGTATTTTTATTAAAATTATATAACATATTTTTTAACATATATCATACTTGTATATTTATATACTTTATTATAAAAAATTATATAATAATTTTTAACTATAAAATTAGATTGAAATTAGCTACTGTGAGATATTAATAGACATGGAAAATTCAAAAGAAACCTTCCTAGAGCCAAAATATAGCGCTAACACATCGAAATGGTATATCGAATCCAGTTTTCCTTTCTTAGATTCTGCGAGGTTTTCCTTATTTTTAATCATTGTTAAGATTAGGCTTGAATTTTGAATACATTTAAGTTAAATATCTTTTAGCTATTTGAGCTGAGACCTGCAATGATTTAAAAAATTTTTTTTATCTTTTAAAGTCGATAACAATTATTATATTTCTAAAATTATAAGTTAAAAATGATTGGAAAGGTAAATTTGCTCGTAAAAAAAATCACTGCCCTCCCTCAGCCTCAATGTAACGTATTATATTTTTTATACTATACCTTATATGGCAAATTTGATTATTTGAATAAAAAAATTTAAAAAAAAGCCTTTCCAGTAAAAAATAACTAAATATAATCTCGATTTTTTAACATAAAGTATAGAAGTAATAACCTAATTATTTTTTAATAATTGTATTTAGATCACATCCCTTTTTCAGAGCGTTTTATTTGCCATACATTAGCCATAAATTTTTGGTTTACAACAAATACAATGTTTTAATTGATAAAGCTAAAATGAATCAAGTATGAGAGATAAATAAATTATACCTTTCAAAAATTGTGGGTAATATAATTGTGGATATCATGTAATTTATTGTAATTGTATAATAATATATTATATTGCATAATAAAGGTATAATGTAAATTATGTGTTTTAATTTTTTGATCAATTGAAATTAATATGTTAGATTTTGTCATAAAATTTTAAGTAATAAAAACGAAACGCAAGCACCATTCTCTTCACGTTTTCGAAATTAATAACCTTAATGTGATATTTAAAAAAACATGCAACATAATATTACCGCGTTGGTAATCTTATTTCAACATTTTTTTCTACAGTTTAAAATCATTTCTGATTTTAATGATATTATGACAAAGATTTTAATTTTTTTGATAAATAATTAAATGCTTTCATATTTCAATACCTAATTTACATTCAATGAAAATAGTAAGTGTCATTCAAAGAATGTCAGTTTGAAATTGACTCTTATGAATATTATATGATGATTGATGCGTTTAGAGCCCTGCACGGGCTATCTAAAACCCTGCTCGAGCCTCAGGCTGGGACCAAGACTTCTCAGGATCGGGTCAGTCTATAAGAGGCAGCCTGACCCAGGCCTTAATAATCATTTTGTTTCATCGATATGTTAATAGAATCTCATATCATTTCTCATTGAACATTAACTTATTCATTTGCCTCATTTCCATTTCTCAAATTAACAATTTTCTATGATTGTGGTTTTTATTATGACTAGTTAAAACTCTGTTACTTACTTACATCATATTCTATCAAGTTAAATAAAATACACATTATATACTTTAGCCAACATAAAATCTAGAATATTAATCTGTTATAACAGTTATATTTTCATTTGATAATTTTTGTTTTATCTAAGATCTATTCAATTAAATAGCCTTAATTTTTACATTTATAAAATTGTTTAAAGAATGGATCCAAATTTAAAAATAACTTCGGAAAAGATTAGAACTCAAGAATTTGAGACAAAGAAAATATAAATGGAAATTATGGAAGAAATTCCTACTGATGTTTTATAAACAAGGTGAAAAATTGCAAAATATATGTAGTCGTGCTCACATGCTGGAACAAAAAAATTTGTACTCGGACCGTGAAAAAATCACCTTGTAGGGCTCTATATGCTTTGTTATTATTTTATTTATTATAGTTTATGTTTTGCTATTTCATTGGTTAAACTTATTGTATAATAATAGTTTTAACCAAATTTTTTATATAGTATCATTTAGCACTAATAAAAATTCTTATAAAGGTTCCCATAAATTTTTTTATAAATTGAAAGAAAAAAATTTATATAAATATCAAATTTAGCATATTACTCCATAAAATTAAGTTAAAACCTAAAGCTAAAATGTTTAATAATAAATTAAGATGGCCTATAATTTATACAGTATAAGGATGCAACTTAATAATTTAATCGATCTTAATGCTAGTAACATGGAAAGCTTTAACCTAAAAAACTTCTAATAGTATTATTCATAAATTTTAATAAAATTATAATTGTTAACTTACAATTTACTCAACTCAAATTTAAGAGAGATTGAAAAATATCAATAACACTGTGTGACAAAAAAAATGGGAGAAGAAAATAAAAACAAGTTTTTGTGCAGAATTTGACGCTGAGTTCGAATCCGTTTTCCAAATTTTCCCTACACGTCAAGTTTTAAAAATATTACCGTATAAAGACAACTTTTCGAAATCTCAAAAATGGTAAAATTTAGGTCTTTATATGGATATATTTTAAAAAGTATCGAATAAAAATCCCTGAAAATTGGTGATAGTGTTAAACTTATATTTCTTTATAAATTTACTAATTTTTATAATTTTTTATCGATTGGTTTTTGAGAAAAATGGTAAAGAATTTCGTTTTGGGGGTCTTAAGTTTTTAATTTAAATTACTATTAAAATTATTAACTTTAGAAGTAAATTTTATATAATTTTCCTTCAAATATGCTCAAGATTATATATTAATTCTAATTATGTTTCAAAAGTACTCTATGCCATGAAAATTCAACCAAAATCTATAAATTAAAAAAGTCGGTACAGATATTTTCAAACCTTTTAATTTGTACACTTTTATTGAATTTTCTCTGCATAAAGCATTTTTAAAGCAAAATTAAGGTAATATTTATCTTTTTTAGTTGTATTTAGTAATATTTTATGCATTTATGATCAATTTATATCAAAATCAGATATCTGTACCCACTTTTTTAATTTGTACTCTTTTTGAATTGAGCATTTTTGAAGCAAAATTCATTTAAAATGCAATAATTAGTAATTTTTGCATATTTTTTATTAACATTTATCTTTTTTAGGTGTATTTAAGAATATTTGCTTTTTTAATAAATTTATATCAAAATATATGATTTTCCAATGGAGAACCTTGAACCCATGGTATGGGCAATAAATAATAATGCCAAATAACGAGTAGGAAGAAAGGAGAAGAATTATTTTTTTTCGCGCTTAATTTTTCATAAACATTTAATTTCTTTCATTAATTTTTTTTAAATTGGATTTTAAATATTATTCAAATTCCCTCCTTATATAATATTCTACAAAAAATTAATGCCGAGGTCCTCTTGTTTAAAGCGTGTCTCTAAATTTTGTTACATCTGTGCGGGCTATATATTGCCCGCACAAAATCATTCAAAGGATTTATGAAATTTATTACAATATTCCACTCTGCGATTTGGATAAACCATTTGCCCCTAATTACATATGTAAAACATGTTATAATTCTTTTAATTCATGGGTTAATGGAAAACGGTCATATTTGCCTTATTCGAAACCTGCATTTTGGCACGTAGCAAGAAATCATTCGTGGGATTGTTATTTTTGCTCGATTAGTATATTTGGGTTTAACAAAAAAAAATAAGAATAAAATTTGTTATCCTGAAATTTCGTCGGTTGTTTATCCGGTAAAATATAATATGCATACAACAGTTCCGTTCCTTTTTTTAATAGTTCGCAGCTGGAAAAATTACGTTGCCAGGACAATGACAATATTGATCTTGAGTATCATCCCGAAGAGGATTCGCCATTTATGTCACAAGAGCAACTAAATGACATAACCAGAAATTTACAACTTTCAAAAAGAAAGTCCGAATTTTTAGCCTCAAGGCTTAATGATTTTAAAATTTAAAAAAATGGAGTTCGAACTTCATACCGATTCCGTGGAGCATCTTTTAAAAATTTAATCTCTTACGAAATTTTTTTATACTATTCCAACAATCTAGGTCAACTTTTTTTTCAACTTAATTGAATTGGTGCCCGATGAATGGCGCTTGTTCATCGATTCAAGCAAAAACAGCCTGAAAGCAGTTTTGCTTCATAACGGAAATTCTAAGCCATCAATTCCCATCGCCTATTCCAACCAGTTAAATGAATCATATGAAAATATGAAATATTTATTGTCAAAAATAAATTATTCCATTTACGAATTTAAGATATGCTGCGATCTCAAAATGATCGCAATCCTGACGGGCCTTCAGTTAGGCTACACCAAGCATTCGTGTTTTCTTTGTCTCTGGAATTCCAGAGAAACTCTAAAACATTATACAGTATCTGAATGGGAGGATCGTCCCAAACGTTCTTGAAAAAAATCGCATAAATATCCCGCTTGTTTTTAAAAATAAGATTTTGTTGCCTCCGTTGCACATAAAATTAGGACTAATCAAAAATTTTATCAAAAAATTGTCCGAGGGCCCCACGATACACCTTAGAAATTTTTTCCCCAAGCTTTCCCAAGCAAAAATAAAAGAGGGGATTTTAGTGGGCCCCCAAATAAGAAAACTCATGAAGGACAGTTTTTTTGAAGATGTTACTCATTGAATTAAAAGCATGGGAATCTTTTAAATGGATATGCAGATCGTTCCTTGGCAATCATAAATCAGCCGACTATCGTGAGAAAATTGATGACATATTAACAAATTATAAGGAACTGGGATGCCGAATGTCCATCAAAATCCATTTTCTTCATTCCCATAAAGATTTTTTTCCTGAAAACTTAGGTGCTGTGCCAGAAGAAATGGGGGAGCGGTTCCATCAACAGATAGAAAATCTCGAAAAGTTTTATCACGGCAAGATATAAATATGTTAGCGGACTACTGCCGGAGTATCTTTTATGAAGATAAATCATCAACTTCATATTCGCGGAAATATATTTAGATTTACCATTAAATGTTTTTAAATTGGATAAATTTTATGTTATTGTTTAATTTGTTTTAAATTCAATAGATTTATTGTATATTACAAGTTAAATTCTATATAATAATGAAGGAGGAGGTGGGACAATGGACCGATAAAAAGTTTATTAAAAGTAAAATATGAGATAGGTTAGCTTAGCATAATATATTTATTTAAATATGAGAAATATAACTATTTCATTTAAAATAAATTGTTTGGGAATCGTACCTTGTGCAGTGTAGCGAAGAGAACGAAAGCCACAATAAATAAATATATTAAATGTAAGCTATATTAAAAAAGATTTTATAAATAAAGGTAAATTTAAAAAATATAGTTTGTTTAAAAATTGAGTAAGGATATTATAAAAAAGAAGGTTCCACGTCAATTCGGTGCGGCGACAATTCAGCGCACGACAATTCGGCGCGGCGAAAATTCAGCGCAACGTCAATTCGGCGCGGCGACAATTCAGCGCAGCGTCAATTCGGTGCGGCTACAATTCAGCGCAGCGTCAATTCGGTGCGGCGACAATTCAGCGCGTATCTATTACAGTTGCAATTAATTATATATTACTTAGTATAAAAAAATAAGGATGATTAAATAGAAATCATTTTGAATGTTGGTCCTTGTGGTAAATTAGTCAGGTATAAATATTGGTTGTTAATTTTTTTTGATATTACACATTTAGTAAATAAAATTGAGATTTTTGTAAAAATAAATATGGAGAAATAATTAATAGGACCAAAATTCAAAATGATTTCTATTTAATCATCCTTATTTTTTTATACTAAGTAATATATAATAAATTGCAACTGTAATAGATATGCGCTGTGTCGCTGCGCCGAATTGACGTGATA